GGAGAACAGAATTTTGGTGCGGTCCGAAATTCCTCTCTTTAGTCCTCATAAAAAATTTTATTTCTATGAATACTTGGTACACTCCATAGCACTTAGAATTTACACGTAATACTAAGATGAAAAAATTGGTAACATTTATGCAGAAACATTCATTAGTAAAAAGTAGATCATAGAAACATCACTTGGTAGTTCTCTTGAACACTACGCTTTATTGATAATGCATGCCGCTAAGCACTACGGATAGTACCAACTTGTTATAGGATTTTGAGTTTTTAGAAAAGTTTGTGAGATGAATTTGAGCCTTGACCGAAAGTCCTCATCAAAATGCATATAACGTCTCTTATGGAATGACTGAATTTTTGAAGAATCTTTATAGTAGGATTTAATGTAAGATTTCAGAGACGACGATTTTTCATACAATTTCTATCTGATCGTACAAGATGAGCGATACGATCCTTGTAATATCTTATCATCTGATTAGTTGATCTGAGCAGAGATATAGGTTGAATACTCGTGAGCTACAATGCTCGAAATAAAAATAAGAATAAAAATAATATGGTAAACCGGCAGTTCGACAATTTTTTTTACTGTAAAAAATTCCAGCAGAAGGAGGACAAATTGTCGAAATTCATGTGGCACAGTTTCACATAGCTGAATAATATAGATATCCTCATAACATTTATTTCGTAGGAAAATAAATTTTCTTATTATGCGAAATTATACAATATTGATTTTAGACACAATCGTGGTCATGTAACTCGACTACAATTTCGTCAATGTTTAGCCATAGCTGGTTTATCTTATACACAAAAAGAATTAGAAGCTGTTGAAGCAGCTTTCATTGATGATAATGGTTTTCATTATCGTCGTTTTGTTGAATGGATTCAACCACGTCGTATTGAACCTCTTCGTTATAATATTTTACAGCAAGAACTTAAAAATTTAAATAAACAACGAATTCCACCCGAAATAAAATCATTAACAAGTATTCAAGATGTTTTACAAAAAATTAAAGGACAAGTAAAAAATATTTATTAGATTATTATTCTTAATATATAAGACATTAAATGAAATACATTTAATCTATTCTAAAGGTATATCGTCGTCGAATACGACTCAACGAATGGCTTAAAGATCATGATAAACTAAATTGTGGTCGAATGTCTTTTGATACATTTCGTCGTGCTATAAATCCATGTCAATTAGAATTAACCGAAAGCGAATTATCTCTACTTGAAGATTAGTAAGTTAAAAATTTTATTTTTTTTGTTCAGTTTTTGGTGGTGCTTTTACTTCATTATTTTCATTGAGCGGTTTACCATCGAAAAAGTCAAGTAAATTTTGTACCGTTGTTTCAGCTATATTTTTCAATGCTTCTTCTGTTAGAAATGCCTGATGTGATGTAACAATTGTATTTGGCATTGAAATTAAACGTGCTAATGTATCATCTTCCATAACCTAAAACAAAACAAAATTTTATTTTACGGATAAAACATTAGAAATTGATATGAAAAAAAAACCAAGTTTTACTTGTTGACTATAATCATTAAAAAAATATTCTTTTTCATTTTCATATACGTCAAGTGCAGCTCCTCGTAATTTTCCTGATTTAAGACACTCAACAAGAGCCTTTGCATCGACTAAACCACCACGACTTGTATTAATTAACATTGCACCTTGTTTCATTTTATCTAAAGCCTCTTTATTAATTAAATGATAAGTTGAATCAAGTAATGGTGCATAGATTGAAACTAAAATTAGAAAATGATTTTCAAAAAAAAAACAAACAAACATAAAAGATCTTTATTCCTCATACCAATGTCACTTTGTCGAAGTAATTCATCCATTGTTGTATATACATAGCCTTTTTCTTTTGCTGCTTTTTCATTTGGAAAAACATCATAAGCTAAAACTTTACAACCAAAACCCAAAAATATATTGATTGCACACATACCAATACCACCGGTTCCAATAATACCAACAGTTTTACCAAAAAGATCAATACCAACTAAACCATCCAAACTAAAATTATGTTGTTTTGTTCGAAAGAAAGCATGATGCATATTACGATTGAGTGATAATAAAAGAGCAACTGAATGTTCAGCTACAGCATATGGTGAATATCGTGGTACACGACAAACTTTTATATTATATTTTTCAGCTGTTTCTAGATCAACATGATTAAATCCTGCACTACGTAAAGCAACTATTTTGATAGTATCAGATTTTTTATGAATTGCGTCTAAGACATGAGTGTTAACAACATCATTGACAAAAACACATACACCATCATAACCTTGAACTTCATCTACTGTTTCTTCAGTTAATTTACTTTCAAGAAATGTAAAACGTAGTTTATCTTGACCATTTAAAGCTTTTAATGCTAATTTAAGTGTTTTTTCATCGTATGATTTTGAATCAAAAACAAGAATTTTATGTAGTGTCATCTGTTATGCTAAAAATAGAAAAATAGAAATAGATTATTAAAAGAATAAGGTATTAAATAAATAAGAAATTTACTTTTCTCGATTGAACTGAATTATCAAGCCTGTGGATGTTATTTTTCTTCTCGATTTCTTTAATTCAATGCTACGAAATGATTTCTCTCTTTTTTTTCTCTATGGAAGAAATATAGCCTAGTTGTTATAACTATGAAGAATAAATCAGTAACGATGAAAGTGGCCGGCCACGAGTAAAAAAATAGAAAGAAGAGAACAGAGCGATAAAAAGTTGTTCTAGTAGAAGAAAGCAAAGAAAACGAAAAGAAAAATACTTGACAATCATATAGACACAGAACGACACTCTCCTATAGCAATGATTATATGATAAAGAAAGAAATACTAAGAAGAAAATGTTTTTTCCTTCGCGTTTAAAGCATTGCTATCATAGCTATAATGGTAAACATCAATAGTTCTTTCTTCCTGCAGACTAAATTCTGCTTATTATTGTTCTTCGATGAATGGATCTTTTCCTATCCAATAGAATATTTTCAATAGAAAAAAACAAGAATCATATTATACTAATTATTTTAAAGTAAAACTAATTAATTTAGAACACGCTAGTGTGTTATAATAATATAATAACTCAAAAAAGAAAACTATGAATATTAACCTCTTTCAATATCAAAGTATCAATGCAAAATATTAAAGTGAAGAAAACGTATTTTAAAATGGTGTCGATCTATCATTATAAATTATATAGCAGTGATAGTAACTATTGACAGTAGTTCTAGACTATTATTGTTTCAAAGCGAATAGTTGTTGATGGATTACAAAAGAAAAGAAGACAAAATCACAGAAATCGTTTTTTCTTAAAATTTAAAAAGAATAATCTAGCTTGTAAATGAATTTCATAAGATCTAACTATAATATTTAGACATCATTAAAAAATAATAAACATAACAGGGCATTCAATCTCATTTAAGTTGCAATTATAAAATATGAATTAAATTTTCTATTTTTTTAACTAACTTGATTAAGATGATATGAAAAATGTTTCTAAAGATCTACGCTTTTGCTGAAAGAAAACCAACTTATCGATAATTGAAGACATTCGTTACATAATTAGCACGTTTGTATGCATGTCCGCAAAACATATAATCGTTGCTATAATTTGCTGATATTCAAACTTTTTATTACTTTTTAATGTTTTGCAAAATATTCGGACACGCACGTATCTTAAAATTATCGTGTTATATTGTAATTCGAAAGATGATATGCTCGAATCTCGTTCAAGTCTAAACTTCACAATTGACTTTATCTTATAGAGACAAAACGGATAAGTATGTTGGGTCCGGTCAAGTTGTTCTAGTTAGACAAGTATGAATGTTAATCAACATAATAACATATTATTTCTGTTGTTTTGTATATGTCAAATCAAGAAGTAATCAATCGAAAGATTTTTGTAAACAGCTTTCAAGATTGACTTGAAAACGATATCATGAACTCAAAACATAAATTTTCTTACATAATGTTTATATTAGTTGATAAATTATTTATTTAATGGAAAATTTTTTATTAAATAATTATTATTTTTTTTATTTTTTTCTTTCTAGTTATCGATCACGTATTGATTCGAATGCATTTGAATATCGAAAATTCTGTGATGAAATTGAATCTATATTTACTACAGATTTTCTTGAAAAAAATCCACTTGTCGAATCAGAACAATACATCGCACTCAAAGAAGCAACAACTATTCAATTAGATCCTGATAAAGAAGATCGTGTAAAAAATGTAATGCATAAATTAGCTGAACGTGTAAGTTTCTTCTTTCAAAACAAAAAAAAACAAATTGAAATATTTATTTCATTTAAAAATAAAACGAAAAGGTTCATAAACGTCGTATACAATTATTTCCATTATTTGAAGATTTCGATCGAGTTCGAAATGGTCATGTAACACAAAATCAATTTTTACGTGTATTAAATGATCTTGCCTTATTAACCTTATTAAATGGTTTTGAAAAAGATAATTTATTAGAAAAATTTCGTGTTCGTGTTGGCGGACGAGATGATATTGATTATCTTACATTTTGTCACGAACTTAATGCTTTAGCTGGTTTTGAAGCTGGTATACCATAAAACAAAATACTGAAATTTCTTTTTTTCTTTCGAATAAAATATAGACAAATAAAACTTTTATGCTCTTTTTTTATCGCTTATCGAACATCGAATAAAAACGAAGATCAAAATAATATTTTGCTTCTGAAAAATATAAAATTTCATGAATTAGTATCCTTTAAATTATTAATATATCTTTAAGATATTTCATAAAACAATTGAAAGATAAAATAGAAAAGCTTTTTTTTCTTGTTTTTTTTTACTAAATACAGAAATAACTATATAACAATTCTGTAATTGTTTATATATGTTAATAGTTTAAGAATTACAATAACGTAAATGTTAATAAATCACATTTCAATATAACTAATGAAACTACTATTTAGAGTTATTAAGAAATGAATTTTTCTTAATTTCAATCAATGACGGGCTTCAGCTTTTACTGCATCAGTTTTTTATTCATTAAAAATAAATTAAGAAAACTTTGAACAATTGATTCAGCAATTGTTTTTAATGCTTCTTCGGTAAGAAATGCTCGATGTGATGTAACAATTGTATTTGGCATTGAAATTAAACTTGCTAATGTATCGTTATCCATAACCTAAAACAAAAAAATGATAATTAAAAACAAAATTTCATGAAAAATTCTTTATAAAAATATTTATCTTCATGTTCATACACATCAAGTGCAGCTCCTCGTAATTTTTCTGATTTAAGACACTCAACAAGAGCCTTTGTATCGACTAAACCACTACGACTTGTATTAATTAACATTGCACCTTGTTTCATTTTATCTAAAGCTTCTTTATTAATTAAATGATATGTTGATTTTCATTCAATGGTACATCAAATGCAACTAACAAAATAATAATAATTCATTTTATATAGAGGAATGTTATATTAATTTGTCTTACCAATATCACTATTTAAACTAAAACTTTACAGCCAAATCCTCAAAATATTTTTACTGCACACACTCCAACACTACCGGTTCTAATAATACCAACAGTTTTGCCAAAGAACATCAATACCAACTAAGTCATCTAAACTGAAATTATGGTGTTTAACATATACAATAAATCAATATATTTTCAATGTATTTGTTTTTCTTTATATTTTTTCTTTATATATTTCACTATATTTTTATATTATTCAAGTTTTCCCGCCTGACAAACACATACACAAAAATTTTATTTTTTTATATTTTATTATTATATATATATTTTAATTATTATATTCTCATTTTTCTGCTTGGCAGACATATACGCAAATTTAAAATATTTCAAACTAATTTTCTTCATAAGACCCTTTTATGAAATAAAAGGGAATAAAAATAAAAATGATCGAAAATGTTTATTGTTGTCACCAGTTGATCTGTCGCTGAAAGATGGTTGATTCTCTTCTTTTTCTATTACAGAAACATAAGTTAGCTATGTTAACTATATAGAATATACAGTCGACAACAAGAGCAGTACTACAGCGAGTAAGACAGAAATGAAAAAAATATGAGAGAAAAAAATCGCCTCCAGAAGAAAAAAAACGATGAAAAATGTGTTTTGAGAAACTGATGGACAAAATGACAGAACGTTACAGGTCTTTACCCGTAGTGTTTGCTTTGAAAAGAGAAATTATTAGAGAAATAATTTGTGCATCATTTGTATGAATAAGTCACCTAAAGTATCGATGCATGACTTTATTCAATAATAGTTTTGCTTGTCTGATATGAATATTTACACCATTTCAGACTGTTTTATGTTTTCAAATAAAAAATGTTTATCTCATCAGTATCAACTGCTTAAAAATAAAATGAAACATATAGAGAAATGGACTTTTTTTGTGAAGTTGTATAGATAAAAGACTATACGAATAGAAAATTTTGTTTGAAACCTATTGATTTACATTGTATATGAATACACAATGTCTACAACTAAACTTATAAAATTTATTGGTGCAGATACACATCTTCATGTCATTTGTTGCTTGTTAGTTATGTTGATCATTAACTATTATTCTTATCGATGTGAATGTATTGTTTGTATATAATGATAGTTTTTAAACATGAAATGTGTTATTAAAAAAATTTCGATAGATAAACTTGACATTCGGACATTTCTCATTTTGTTTATTTTCAATCTGAAACATAGTTTCGTGAGATATTCCTTTATTTCCTTTGAAAATATAATGAAAACAAAGCCCGTAATCATACAGATAGATAAGAACAATCATATGTAAAAGAAACAAACAGATTAAGAAAATATAATTATTCAATAATGAGCTAAATTTTTAGAAAAAGGAGATTAATATATAAAATAATTTATTGATGATAAGTTTAAAATGCTCTTATTTTTGATTGAAGTACATTTATTCAAAAAAAAAACATCACAAGATGAGATGATTATCAGTAGAAGGCAAGTTTCATCAATAAAAAATATCACATCAATGGATTGTTTTCATTTATGAATATTGAGTGTGTCGAAGTGGAGGCATAATAGTATTTACTACTGGTGAACGAAATCTGTAGAAAAGTAAAAATAAAATATAATTAAACTCTGTTTTTCTTTAATTATTATCATATTACCGTTTTTGTTTTGTGATAAAAGATTTAGCTGAATCGGATGATGATTGACGATTACGTAATGAATTAAATCGACCAGATATAATTATTATTGGTCGAGCACGTACACAATAGTTTTCACTTTGAATTTCAAGCCAAAGACGATATTTTCCATTATTTAAATCATGAATTGTTGCTTGATGTGTAGCAGCATCATAATCACCATGTAAACGTACAGCATGTGTTGTAAGATTTTCCGAATATAACTATCGAATACAAACAATTAATATCATATTTTTAAATCAAATTAGGGATGCACCAATTCATAGAATATGATGTCACAGATGACATGTTTTTTTTTCCTTATTAAGAATGTAGTTCCTGTAGATTGTTTATAACAGTCATGATCAGTTTTCTTTTACTCTATCCGAAGCCGTAGTCGAAATACGTGAAATAGAAAATAAAGGTTTTTTAATTAGTCAAAAAATTTGCGTTTTTTTTTGATCGATTTCAATTGATTTTGAGATCCGTGTTTTGAATTAGACAAAAGTTAAGAATAGATGCAAGAAGAGCGTCCAAATCTGAACACAACTGGCATGAATAATCGTTAGGAGTCCAGTAATTCTCAATACTGGAAATATTCTAAACTTCGATTAGAAATTCAAGGAGTTAGTTTATTCCTGCGTACAAAACCACTTGCTAAGCATTGAGAGCTACCGAACTTCTAGCGACTCTTCATGTCAGTAATGTTCAGTCTTTAACTCTCTTTCCGAATCTATTCTTAGCTTTTGTCTAATGCAAAATAGAAGTCTAAAAATCATTTTGGATTGGTCAAAAAATTTGATTCACAGGAGCTATATTCTTCATAAAGAAAAAAAAAGTCATCCTTGATATCATGTTCTAGGAATTGGTGCATCCCTAACTAAAATTGTGAAACTAAAAGATTATTAAGAAAACAAATACAACTTCTACACTATACAACTCCATAGATATGCAAGTAAACTCCCTAGAAATATTGGATATAGAATATTTTCGATTACATCCAACATTCTATTATGAAAATTTCTCATTTGAAAAAAGCTCAAGACCGAATCAATCTGAATTTTATAAGACACAAGTTTTTCCGTAAAAATTAAATGATATAAATTAACAATAAAAATTTTACAAGTGTTTCATTGTTGATTTGACTCTCATAGTTTGGTCTTTAGAGGATGAAAACTGAAATTCTTATAAAAATACGATTCTGTCTTTCCTTTTTAATCCTTTAATATTCTTGATTTCTTCAAAGTTAAACTCATTCTTATACGTCGTTCAATATTTTCATACTTTAAATCCAATCAGTTTTTCCATTTCATCTTCTAATTGTGGATGTTCCCAAACAACAATAATAGTTCCTGTTTGTCCATCATCCATACGTTTGAATGCACCTGGTTTAATTCCAGGCCATGAAAATTGTACACCACGTGACATTGGACTAACAATATTTTTATCATTACTTAATGCTTTTACATGTACGGTATAAATATCACATGGTGTACCATTTGTTAATGTATATGTTAATTGATCATGTGCAAGTATAGCTGCTAAACGATTGTTAACAAAGATTTGATAACCAACAACTGTTATTTCACCATAACTTGCTGCTGGACGCCATTCAAGTTTAACACGATCAGTTGTACGTTCACTAAAATAAAATTTTCAAAGTTATATTTCTTCATCAATATTTTCTTGTTTTTTCTTTGCAATTACCTAATAGCAACAATTGGAGCATTTGGTGGAGCATTCATTTGAACAGTAGTTTTATCTGATATATATAAAACACCACCATTTTTATCAGCAGCCATAACCATTATTCCATAAGTAAAACCTGGTCGTAAACCACGTAAAACCTTAATAAGAAACAAAAACAGACGAATAGAAACTTTCATCTTTCGTAGAAATTATTCTTTAACTTACAAAATGTCGAAATCGTTTCAATACTTTCATTGTTTGTACTTCTCCATTATTTAAACAAGTATAATGAATATAATAAGCACGTATTTCTGCTGTAGGTAAAAATGATGTCCAATCAAGATGAAGTTTTTCTTCATTAATTGCTTCAATTTTTAATGGTATAATACGTGCTATATTACGATCAAATGATGTTGGACTTCCATCGTCATTATTATAATAAATTGTTGGAATGAGACTCGTTGTTGGTGTTGTTATAACAGTTAATGTTTGAGACATAGCTGAACGTGAACGTAATGGATTATTTGTTATAGCACATACATTAACTTGATATGTACGATTAATACGTGAGGGAATTTCTGCACGATGTAAATTAACTTGAATAACATCACCTTTCTTTTTACCTTCGATAAATAATTGATAACCAATAATTGGTATTCCATATGATTTTGGTTCAGACCATTCGACAATAAAATTTGTATCAGATGTTTTAACAAGCCATAAATTAGGTGCATCTGGTTCGCCTGGTATTGGTATTCTTAATGGTTCATATTGAAATCTATTACGATCATTAGTAACAATAATAATTTCAATAACATAATAATGTTTTTCATCACATGAATCTAAAGATATTAAAGAAAAAAACAAGTGAAAGATTTTTGTTATATTTATAATTGAAATATAAAATTTTGACTAACCTATAGTAAATGATGTTTCATTAGCAGGTATTATTTTATGTTGAATTTGTAAATCTTTTGATGAATGCCATTGAAGAATAAAATGTGAAATATTTTTAGAATCTGATACTTCCCATTGAATATTTATTTGTCCTAATGATTGAGCGTTATTTTGTTGTCTTATTGTATTTTCATTTGATTCATGTGGATTAAATTCAAAATTAGCTCGAAATGAACGAAGAAAGTCTAAATACAAAAAAAAATATTGGTGAGAAAAATAATAAACTCTTTTTTTTTTAATTTACCGTCTTTTTTTAACATTCGAACAGATAACATTTTCGATGGAGTTTCCTCAAGTTCGTCAACATCACTTGTATCATTAGTTATCTTTAAAAGAAAAAAAACGAAGAAAAGAAAAATTTTCAAAATTTGACTAAAACTTTTGTTTTACTATATCATGCATATATTCATTTTGAGCAATAGTTCGTACAAATAATTGAACTTTATAAATTTCACCTGGTTGACATTCAGTCAATATACAGTTACATTGATTTTCTTCTAATATATTTTGTGTATGTCCATCAACATCAATTTTATATCCAAGTAAT